TTGGACCATTTTTTATGATTTAATCCTTTTTTCTATTGCTTACATGTATGACATTATCAACACTTTTTATTTGATTATTATTTAATTTACAAGTTTTCGCATGCATTGTAGCGCTTGTTATCTTTTCCGACATATATTTCTTAATTCTTATATAATAAACATTACAGAAGTCAGGCATCGCTTGCGAGGGAAGGACTCGTCGAAGACACAGAAATTGCCACTCTTTCCAAAGTGGATGTTTTGCTCTCATTTACTATTGAAGGTATTCTTCAAAAATAACATATTTTGGTTCATTTAATGATTTAATTGTTTAAAATAACAAAACTTAACGAATATTCTTGACTCTTGAAGTGGTTGTTATGGAAGTTCGTGGTCTGAGATCATTAGCGCCGACCCGTATAGTCTATTGTACGATGGAGTTGGAGGGCGGAGAGAAGTTACAGACGGATCACGCAGAGGCATCCAAACCATTGTAAACATATAGTCACAAATGTCTTATCATATTTAATACAATGTTTATTGCATTCCTAAGATGGGATACTCAGGGAGATTTCACAACAACACATCCTTTACCGATAGTGAAAGTCAAATTATATGCCGAAAGTCCGGGAATTCTTAGCCTCGATGACAAAGAATTGGGAAAAGTTATTATAAAGCCGACACCACTCACATCAAAAGCCCCGGAATGGTATAAAATGATAGTACCGAAGAACGCACCTGATCAAGAGCTCACCATCAAGATCATCATAAGAGTGGATAAGCCATTAAATATGAAACATTGCGGCTATTTGTTGGCTCAGGGAAAGCAAGTGTGGAAGAAGTGGAAGAAACGATACTATATTTTGGTTCAGGTCTCGCAATACACTTTCGCTATGTGTAGCTATCGAGAGAAGAAGTCAGAGCCAACAGAAATGTTACAATTGGATGGATATACTGTCGATTATATCGAACCAATTCCGGGTAATTATAACTAAATGATGATATTCTGCGAGCATTTCTAATAAATGGTGTAAAACATCTAGACTTAGAAGAGGGACGATTCTTCTTCAATGCTGTGAAGCTTCCGCTATCACAACACAAGCGGACGCTACTGCTCTTACTCACAGTAAATACCCAATACCGATACATATCCCGGTGGCCAGTCCGTGTGTTTGGTTGAGGAAATGAAGTTTGGGAAAGGTTGTTCTATTCCACAATTTATCGATTACAAGGAGGTATTGACTGACAATTTTTACGTTTTATATATTTCTATTTTTGTCAAAATATAAGTAAACTTAATTTAATTATAATTGAATGATTGAGTAATTGAACCTACAATTTGAATACAGACGCCGATAGGGCCCGTAAGCACGGGATGGATGAATATATTCTGTCAGATCCGTGTCGTTTCAATCACCACCAGTTGTTTCGTTTATTACAACGCGAAGCACTCATGTTTAGGCTAAGCGATCCGTATTGTTCATTGGGTTGGTTCAGTCCCGGACAGGTGTTTGTATTGGACGAGTACTGCGCTCGTTATGGTGTGAGAAGTTGTTTCAGACATCTCTCCTATTTATGCGATTTACTGGAGTTCGCAGAAAAGGGAACTCTAATCGATCCGACTTTAATTCATTATAGTTTTGCATTTTGTTCATCACATGTTCACGGGAACAGGTATTCACTATATTCCCTGTTATCACTAAATGTTGTTTTTAAGCCGTTCGCTCATAACAATTAAACTCCCGGTTATTAATTGATCTAATATTGCATTACTATTTCCAATGTATAAATCAATTCCCTATTTATACCGAATATAAATTAACTAAATGAGCATTAAATACATATATAAATCGCACCGATATATAAGTCCCTAATATTGTTGTCTCTCAACCCCCGGACAGTACTACTGCACCCCCGATCGGACAAATCGCATTCGACATCAGGTATGTCTCAGATGTTGCATGAAATTAATGTAAACCTTCACATCTACACACATATTGCTTGCACTTTACAATAACCGTAGTATCAGTTGTAGTGTTAGAAATCCTACCTTTGTATGTGGTTTTGAAGTGTATTTATTGATTTCAAATTTGATTTATTATATTTGTTAATAAATGCAATAATTTCAGACCCGATGGCATCGGAACCGTTACCGTCGAAGAAAAAGATATTTATGCGGGAATTAAAGATAGACTAAAGTGTTTACTAGAGTACCAAATAACAAATTTTAGGTATTGTGTGTTCACACAAACGATAGTTATTGATAAAATTTTTGAAATATTGATTTAATGCATAAACATGTCGTCAATTAGATATTCATTCCCTTTCGGTCGACCCGAAGGCTCACTTAAAGCCACCCTCTCTTTGCTAGAAAGAGTACTAATGAAAGACATCCTAACGCCAGCCCCTCCTGAAGAGGTGAGAGGAGTGATCAAGAAGTGCCTCGAAAACGCTGCTCTCGTTAATTATACAAGAATTTCAGAAGTGGCCAGAATTGAAGGTTAGTTCACATCCTTTCAATTACTGCATTGTATTTCATTATTATTATTAAAACTATTTTTACAATATTTGACAATTTGTGAATATGTTTTGACTTATTATTTTATATAATTTATTTTAGTTATAATTAGTTATATAAATAGTTATAATTAAGTTACATTACCTTTTAATATTAAATACTGTAACACTATTACACTAAATCTTATTATGTTATAATTAAAGCGTTGACTTTACATATTTTTAAATATTTTTGCAGTAAGAGATATCGAACTCTAGCTTAAAGATCTATCCGAATCATATAATAAGGAGTATTTTAAGACCTATTTGTTATCACATAAATACATATAATTACATATTTTGGATGTTAGCACATATTTTCATATTTTCGAGGAAAATCGGCAAAATATATGAAAATTGTATGATTTTTTCAAGAATTTTGTCAAATAATTAATTCAAAAATGATATTTCTATCAAAAAATCTAAGTATTTTATTTTTTCACACTTCAAACATATTTTTCTATAAAAATCATTACTAGCGAAGCACAGATGAAAAATTTTAGACTAGGTATTTATATATAAATCTGAATATTTTAAATGAATACCATCAAGAAAACTGTATAAATCATTAATTATTTGCGTATTCCATCATAATATGTGCATAATACAATATTTTAACCCTTTTTGCACCAAAATATCAAATATTTTGGTAATTGTATTACCACATATAATTACATATTTTTTGAATTGTTACCACATATTATATTACATATTTTTGGCCTTATTACATATATGTCAATGCTTTAGTTATAATTATTATAATTTACTATAAACCATATTTGCAAATGTTTGCAAACCCAACAGAAATAGCGGCCGACCGGACATTGGATCCAAATATAAAGCTTCAAAATTTGATTCATTTGGCAGAGCTTTGCGTTGATCTCATTCAAGAGAATAATGAACATTACGCTGAGGTAACTGTTATTACACTAGAATTTTGCAATTATTTCAAGTATTGTTAACTTATTTATACAATGAACTTATTGCTTTAATTACACTTAACTATATAATTAATTTAGAAATTATTTATTTAGTTAGATAAAAGTTTAAATTAAATTCTAAATAAATGTCTAAATTAGTAAATGTTGTAATTTTTAAGTCTTTCACTTTTTAAGAATTTAAAATTCTAAACAAAAACTAATTAAATATTTAATTAATATTTTTCAAAATTATCAATTCTTATTGGATTAATAATAAATCTTTATTATATACTTGTATTTGATTATATTTAATATAAGGATTGCCAGAAAATATTACATAATTCTATATAATATAATTCTATATTAATTTATAGAAAAAGGTTACTGAGATGTGTAATAAGATTATTGTATTGTAAAGATTTTGATAAATCCATTCCCTATAAATTTACATTATATTACTATTATTGTGTACCCATTTCTGGCTATTTCTCAAATAATGAGTTATATAAAAGCATGAAATGTATTACAAAATTATGAATTGTTTGCAATGCTCTGATAATATTCCAATCGCTTTCTCCGTAATCTCTTTGCTGTAATCCTAAACACCAAATGATGTCTCTCTCTCTATCTCTCTCTCAATTCTTGTGCTGTCTGTGTGTCTGTGCTGTGGTGTCAGGCCTTTAGAGGGGTGAGTCTCTAACTTTTAAACCATTTGATGTCGTTTAAGACCTTACTTTAATCGCTCATTTCATACCTAAATTACCCGCAATGTTGTGATTCTTGTGTTGGATGTCATGTGACTATCATTTAAAACTAAAAGCAGGACAGAGTAAGTGTTCATTCTCTCTATCACTCACTCCCAGAATGTCATCTTTTATTTTACTTTTTTACCCGCAATGTTGTGATTCTTGTGTTGGATGTCATGTGACTATCATTTAAAACTAAAAGCAGGACAGAGTAAGTGTTCATTCTCTCTATCACTCACTCCCAGAATGTCATCTTTTATTTTACTTTCATTACAAACAGTATTTTCTTTTGCTTTCAGTAATTCTTTAATTACTAATTATTATTTCTAATGACTTGAAACAGGCGTTCGCCTGGTTTTCAGACCTATTGGTAGAGCACTGCGAAATATTTTTCTCGTTATTTGCCGTCGATATGGACACAATTCTGGTCGAACAGCCGCCTGACACGTGGGAGAGTTTCCCATTATTCCAAGTTTTCAATAATTACCTCCGATTAGACGGTTTGTCCATTTCTATCCTCATGTTTTTGGTGCCATTTATTACAGCTTTATTCAAACTTCATAGAAAATCTATGCGGCGGTAGATTTCATACTCAATTACGCGACACATTTGCTCCACAAGTGGTCAGATATGTTGATTTGATGGAGTCTTCTGTCGCTCAATCTCTCCATAAAAGTTATGAAAAGGAGAAATGGGAATCAAAGGGGTATTTATTGAACATAATTGAGCGAACAATTGACTAATCAATTATTGGTTGACAATTGAAACGATAGGCCGAGCGGTTGCGCCGCTTCTGAGGACCTGTTCTGGAAGTTGGATGCGTTACAGACATTCATCCACGACCTGTATTGGCCCGACGATGTGTTTGCCAAGCATTTGGAACAAAGGCTCAAATTAATGGCCTGTGATATGATGGAGGCGTGTATTAATCGTACGCTACAGGCCTTCCAGACGTGGGAACGGAAGGGCACCGCCCGGTGGACGAGCACTGATTATGTCGTGCCCTCAGAGATGTGTGCAATGATTAATGTCATTCTTGACGCAAAGATTCAGTCATTAAAACTGTGCACTTTCGACGGCGCCGACACTGTATGGCATATCTTGTCATTAGTTTTTGTTAAATAGATTTACAATTTTGTACTTTTCCTATTCACCCAACCTTTAGCATCAGTATCACAACAAAATAGACCAATTAGTTGATAAAACCCTCAGTGATATGCAATCAGGGCTTATAGTAAAGGTATTTATTTAATTAAAATACTATTTCAGTTGTAATTGACATGAAAAATGTAATCCTTAGATGACTGCTATACTTGAGGCAAGTATTGCCAAATTGGGCCGATATGATGAGGGTAGTATTTTGGCACCACTTCTCTCATTGACTGTAAGATATATACCATTTCATAACATTATTGACAATTTTTGAAAATCTTTTATCTTTTAATATAATTATTTAATATTTGCCTTAAATATGACATTCAGTACAATAAAGGGATGTCGAGTTCGGGCAGAGAAGTGGGCAAAGCGTACGTGAATTTTGTACGAAACAGTACCGAACAGTTGAGACTAAAAGTGACCGACGAGTTTTGGGTTATCAACCTCTTTGAGGTATTACTATAAATGACACTTAATTTATACTTCAATATATTTATCGGTTATTAATTAATGAAATTGATGCCAATTATAGCAATGGTATTCATCACAAATGAATCTCTTATGCAATTGGCTCTCAGAACGGATAGACCACGGCTTGCATTTGTTCCAACTCTCAGCCCTTTCCCATATTGTCAGGGTTTGTACAATATTTTATGCATTTATTCATGTACTGTGTGTTCACATGAATTTGTTTACAAAACTAATTATTTTATAATTATGTGAATTATAATAAACAGAAGATTTACTCCGATTTCGAACTCCAAGGCATAGAAGAATTCAGATTGAATTCAAAAGTATATCAAACTATTATGGCTCGAATCCAATTAGAAGAAGCGGCCGCTTCGGTCACCAATGGTCTCAATAGAGAACATGAAGATTCTGAGTATGTCTTCCTTGTCATCAACTAATTATTATATTTATTTATTAATATATTTTTTTGTTAAAGTTTTTAAAAAAGTTCAAATTTCGATAAATGTGTTAAATTTAATATTTTGAACACTTGTCATAATAAGGGAATACCCGGACAATGTGGCCGATGCCATAGCAAAAGGCAAGAATCCAGGACTTAGCCGAACGGACTCTGAAACAAGTGAAGGCAATTATGTTAATCGTATACAAAATGCCACTCAGAATGTGATGGGAAGGATATCAGGCATCGGTCGAGGCGTTGGTAATATCGGCGGTGGAATCGGAGGATTCGCTAACAAATTTTTAAACAACAAATTCTAGACTTTTTTGAGTTTGAATAAGTCATCAAAAAACAAGTGAAAACTCATTGTGTGATCTCTTCCCGAGTGTTCCTTCAATACATTAGTTGTCATAATATTATATTTATTGAAATATCAATCGATATAATAATGATTTAGTTTACCATAAAATTGTTGCAATACATTAAAAACAGAAAGAACTTTATGTTGTGATCCTTTAAACAAACAAACAAACAAAAAATGTTACATTTTATGAAGATTTTATTTGAATGAAAATGTTTTCTTTTTGCTCACAAGAGATAAAGTATATATAAGAATAATTAAACGTAAAAATATTTATAAAATTTGATTGAAATATATTATACAATACATTCCTTGACTAACTTTATTACATAAATGCATTGGGAATGGCCTTTGAATGCACTCAAAGAGTTAGAATTTAGACATTGTCAAATGAAAAAATACTTATATATACTTCTGTACTAATTGTAAGTTTTTATGTACAGATAATATTGAGAATATTGATAAATAATTAATGTAAATCTAATCCACGTTATCGTTATTTGTAGTAAACGTTACAGTTTTTCTGCAATCACTGCCAGCGCTCACAAACTCGACATTAGATATAATTGTTTGAAAACAAAACAAATTATTAATAATTTAATAAATTTAGGCGTCATTTGATTTGCTGGCAGTTCTCAGTTTGACTATGCATTTAATCAAAAGGATTTTTATTTATTTTATGTTAACTTTACTAAATATAATATATAAATATATTTTATGTGACTTTTTTACAATTATATGTTTAGGAGTTATTTAATAAATGAACAAATTCTATGATTTAAATGATTATTGTATTGTTAACACAAAATGAAAATATTGTTTAAAATGCATGTAAAATCTAAAATAACTCAAATCTGATGTAAAAACTGATACATTCAATACATTCATTCAATATTCCTCAACAAATTCACCAAAATATCCATTTTTGTAACACATTATACCATTATTTTTTGATCTCAAAACCAATATTTAATACCATTGTGTCAATTAAAATGCCTTTTAAGTGAATTATTTTTGTTAAAATCGCATATTTATACTCATTTATATCACTTCTATTCGTTTTGAATGCCTTTTTTGTTCCCATTATTTCTTATATTTCAATGAATTAATGTTAGAATACATTACAACGAATTCTTCCTTATTTACTCCATTATATCAAATGTATTGAGTTTTCCCATAATATTTGTAGAATAAATTTAATTTCAATTATTTATAACTGTTTTNCCATCATATCACAGGCCATTAATTTGAGCCTTTGTTCCAAATGCTTGGCAAACACATCGTCGGGCCAATACAGGTCGTGGATGAATGTCTGTAACGCATCCAACTTCCAGAACAGGTCCTCAGAAGCGGCGCAACCGCTCGGCCTATCGTTTCAATTGTCAACCAATAATTGATTAGTCAATTGTTCGCTCAATTATGTTCAATAAATACCCCTTTGATTCCCATTTCTCCTTTTCATAACTTTTATGGAGAGATTGAGCGACAGAAGACTCCATCAAATCAACATATCTGACCACTTGTGGAGCAAATGTGTCGCGTAATTGAGTATGAAATCTACCGCCGCATAGATTTTCTGTTAAGTTTGAATAAAGTTGTAATAAATGGCACCCAAAACATAAGGATAGAAGTGGACAAACCGTCTAATCGGAGGTAATTATTGAAAACTTGGAATAATGGGAAACTCTCCCACGTGTCGGGCGGCTGTTCGACCAGAATTGTGTCCATATCGACGGCAAATAACGAGAAAAATATTTCGCAGTGCTCTACCAATAGGTCTGAAAACCAGGCGAACGCCTGTTTTAAGTCATTAGAAATAATAATTAGTAATTAAAGAATTACTGAAAGCAAAAGAAAATACTGAAAGTAATAAAAGTAAAATAAAAGATGACATTCTGGGAGTGAGTGATAGAGAGAATGAACACTTACTCTGTCCTGCTTTTAGTTTTAAATGATAGTCACATGACATCCAACACAAGAATCACAACATTGCGGGTAA